GGCAGGGGCAGGCGGATCTCTGTGAGTTCGAGACTAGCCTGGTCTACAGAGCTAGTTCCAGGATAGGAACCAAAGCCACAGAGAAACCCTGTCTCGAAAAACAAAAAAAACAAAACAACAACAAAAAAAAAAGAGTGAGAAACCCTATAGTACATTGCAGTGGCTTTACTTTCTTTAATCATTGTAACGAATAAATCTTGTCTACATTACATTAAGATAGTTATTACATTTTGTATGTATTGTGTACATACATGTATATGTATGGGGTGTGTGTGCACTTGGACATGCGTCTGGAGGTCAAATTTTGAGAGTTAGTTCTCTCCCCTCACCATATGGGTTCGGGGAATCAAATTCAGGCTGTCAGTCTTGGTGGCAAGTACCTTTACTCACTGAGCCATCTTATCAGCCCAAGTATTATATTAAAAGTTGTTGTAAAATGTAATTTGTAATGTGTCAGAAACAGAGCCTTCAAAATTCTTATTCTTCCAAAATGAATACATAATGTCTGTTATTGAAATGTTGGCCACTACTAATTATTGACAGAGTCTTGGGTCAAGAAAAGAAATAGAAAGTTAAATAATCAAAACCTGAGGGAGGTCACTTCTCACAAAGTTTAAACAATACATTTGTTACCAATTTCTTTAAAATTATTATATATAATTAAAATATTCTAAAATTACAATGTTTTTAAGCCAGAAAGACCAGATTTCAAGAAAGCAAATGAGCCCTTGACTCTTGATATTGCAAGAATGACATTATTGCATGATATCTATCTATCTATCTATCTATCTATCTATCTATCTATCTATTTTCTGTGTTGCCTTGGCTGTCCTGGAACTCACTGTGTAGACCAGGCTTGCCTCACCTGCCTCTGCACTCCAAGTACTGGGATTAATGGCATGCACCACCACCACCCAGTTTATTGTATGAATCTTATTATTTTAACTTTTTAGTAATTTTAAATAAATTTATATTTTAAACTGATTTTTAATCTTTGAATTTGAAAAGGGTTCTTGTTAATATAGTTAAACAGTCTTAAGAATTTAGTCCCATTGGGTGTGGTGATGCATACTTATAATCCTAGCAGAGGCAGGTGGATTCTTTTGAGTTCCAAGTTGGCTAAGGCTGCAATGAGGTCTTTAGTCCTGTCCTAAACACCCTGCTCTAGAGTGCTTAGAAATTCCTGCAGGTCAGTGGACCAGTCATCGCCGTGACTGTCCCAGATGGGTGCAGCTTCACTTTCGCGGCTGGCAGTGCAGGTTTAGCTCTCAGTTACATCCTGCATCTCAGACTAAATGGTCTTTCATTAAAAATGGACAAACATCACTGGCTTCTCTAGAATGGAGGTCTCACAGGCATTGCTTTCCTCCTCTTCTCTGGTCCATGTTTCCTTATACAGAGTGAGACCTGACTCACAGAAGGTGCTTAGTAAGTACTTTCTAGATGAGCAGGTCTTTAGTAATCTAGACTGCAGAATTCTGTTATCCTGAGGAGGGAAGGTTACAAAGTCATGACTAAACAAGAGTGTTAAGGTAGTGTTAGATGCTAGCAGAAGTAATTTTGTTCCCCAGAGAACAGTTGAATTCACTGAAAAAGAATGGTACAAATTCAGCTTCTTCGTTTGTTTTTATTTTATTTTCTAAATTTGGGGAATTGGCCATCAAGAAATAGTCAGAAATACTTCTTTTTTCCTGTTGGTTAATTTGGCTTCTGATCGCTTCAAACACAGGTTGTGTAAGTCCTGAAAAACACTGATAATAGAAAAAGCAAAAAAGTATTACTTCTGAAGATGCTGACATGTCTACATGATTAGACTGCTAGGGTGTGGGCTGATGTTACCTGTCAGAGTTTGGTCTGTACAGATAGTTTAGAAAGCAGTCGTCAAGAAAGAAACTGCAGGTACAGACTTTGGGTACAGGACATACAGTTAACCCACCCCTGATCCCCCACCTCTGTATGTCCCCTCCCCATCCCCTTTCTGTAGCATCGTACAGTGTTCTAGGTTCCTGCTAGGCTGGTTTGGACATAGTTTGGTTGCCAATTCCAAACTGGTCTGTTTGAAAGTTGGCTCTGTTGTTCAATCTAGGTGGAGTGTATGCACTTGGATATTAATACTGGAATACACATGAACAGTTGACGGGTCAGAGCAATAAAGTCCCAATGATACCTTCATCTACATTCTCGAATTTTTTTAAAATAACATGTTTTTAATGCTTATGAGTATTTTTGCCTACATGTGTATATGTGCACCATAGGCATGCCTTATGCCCTCTAAGGTCAGAAGAGGGTGTAGGATCCCCTGGAACTGGAGTACAGATGATTGTGAGCTACCATGTGGTTTCTGGGAATCAAACCTTGGTCCTTTGCAACAGTAAGAAGTTCTCTTAATTGCTGACCCATCTCTACATCTCCACATACATTAAAAAAACCTTCTTGTTTCTTGAGATTAATATAATTACATCATTTCCCTTTCTCTTTCCTCCCTCCACACCCTCCCATGTACCCTTTCTTGTTCTCTTATAAATTCATGGCCTCTTTTTAAAAAATTGTTGTAATATGTATATATGTTAATCCACAAAACAACTCCCAAGAGATTTTTAAAAGCCAGAGAGAGAGAGAGAGTCAGGGAGTTTTCTATGAGATTGTGTTTCCTAGTATATTAGAAGCGATACCATAAGTTGCACCAACATGACTGTCTAAACGTGAGCTGAACAAGGACAGCAACAATAGGCATCCTAACGTGCACCAGTGGAAAGGCTGCATTCTTTTGATAGATGGATTATGTATGTTCTATACACTTAAGTTTCTACTCAGGGAATGTTTACTCTGTAAACTTCAGATCTAATGCCCTACATATACAAAATTGTTCTTTTGTAGGAACTTATATTTTAAAAATAAGGAATGGCAACCCAGTAGTCAATTTTTGACATGATGCCAGAAAAGCACACTGCATTAGCATTTCATGGTCCAGCATTTTTTACATCACACATTTTTTTTTCTTAGCTGTGAAGTTTCGGCAGATTGTTATGCAAAACAGTTTTGTGTCTCTGTGTGACTGAGAAGACAGCTGTTAGTCCTAATGAGGAGTGCTAGCATTACAGTATTTCCGTTGATTGAGACCCACGGAGTGAGCAGAATGTTCCAGATCAGGCAGTGGTGTGTGGTGAGAAGGTACCATACTGTCAGCTGGAAGTACATGCTCGGCTGCTCTCCACGACAAGATAAATGAGTTTGCTGGAGTTTGGCAGAGTCTGAAGCTTTTCCAGTGAGTGGTTGTAGCTCACTAGCCTCCCTGTGGGACCCACAGTCCAAGGGTGCCTTTAAGACTACTGCGTCTTTGCCATGCTTGTCTCTTGATGTCCTACGATACCCGTCAGCATTGTGATTTATTAGGAACCTCATGTCTTCTAGCATTTCATTAGCATAAGGTCGGATAATCTTTTGTTCAGGTTTTTTTCTCTACATTGCTGGAGGGAGGTACTAGCTGAAATTTAACTTGGCCAAAACCTCCTAGAGCACACTGCAAACAGAAGTCAGTGGGTGTCTTTACTTTATGCTTTCTCAATCTCTGGCAATAGGAGAAGCTCTTCAAACATTCCTGTAACCTTTGCTACACCCCATTTATAGTCAGACCGTGTGCTGTTATTTATTTAAATAAAGAATACGTGGGGCTAGAGAGATGTCTTAGCTGTTAACAGCTCTGTCTGCCTTTCCAGAGGACCTGGGTTCAACTCCCAGCACCCACATGGCGGCTGACAACTATCTGTAACTCCAGTTCCCAGGATCCAACTCCCTCACACAGACATACATTCAGGAAAACACTATACAAATGCGTATAAAATAAAAATAATTATTAAAAAAGTACAGCTAGGTCAGTCATGATTGTACAGTTTGTCCATATATCCGTTTCTTCCCTGGTGCTATATTGCTATATGCTGTGTCTTTTATGCTGCATCCAGATGTTGTACAGTAGTCTTCTGGAGATGCTGTTGATTGACACACGTAGAGAGGAAGTACCCGCTGGGATCAGATGAGCTGAGACAGGGAGGCTTCAAGTGCCATTTTATCATTTCAGTCCCGTCTTCCAACAAGTAATTGATGACTTTGGGTTGAAAGAAAGGGTTGCATTACAAGTTAACCTAATAGACCATGGTAACTTCTAACTGGGACAATTTCCCCAATGACTAGTGGTGTTGTGTGTGTGTACTTTGAAGCTATAGGTCACCATCTAGTGTTTTCCTCACTCATTTTTCCTTCACCTTAATTTTTGAGATCAGTTACCTTACTGAACCTGTAGTTCACAAATTTCAGAGGACTGGCTGACTAGCCAGTTCCAGGAATCTTCCAGGCTCTACCCCTTCAGCCCTAGGATTACAGGTGTCTGCTGCCATGCCTATGGGTTTGTTTTTTTTTTTTTAAATAGGGGATCTGGGAATTGAGCATTGGACCCCTAATACTTTATATGGCAAGTACTTTATTGACAGACCTATCTCACAGGTGTAACTTACTTGGAAAAAATGTCAGTTGAACTTCTTTGCCATTGTGAAATGCCCAGTGTTTTTTACTAACTCCAGTGTTTTGATTGAATTGGAAGTTACAGTTGGAATGGCTTTTTTCTTAATTCATCCCACCAGAATATATATATATATATATATATATATATATATAAATAAATAAATTTTGGTAGGCTGTGTAATCCATATTTTTCTAGTATCTTCTTTGCTGCACTGTCTGAGGATGATAGGACGGAGTAAACATAGACTTCATTTTCCTGCACAGCTGGGAAATAAAGCAAGGGTCCTTCCTTATGTAACTTATGCACAAGGAGAGTTTACGAAACAAGCACAGGTTGCAGAGCAGAAGATGCCGTAAACGTGCATATCTCCCACATCCTTGCCCTCTGTTTCCCCTCTGAAAGCAAGATGTGTGTATCTGCACTGTGGGGGATGGTTGGTACATCCTGCACTCTAACTGCTGATGTGTCTGACCTTTACCTGTAGTACTGTGACCTCTGCTGTGTTCACTGTGGGAGACAACGTTGTTTCGGGCAGCGATGACCGCACAGTAAAAGTCTGGGATTTAAAAAATATGAGATCTCCAATTGCGACAATTCGTACAGACTCTGCCATTAATAGGTAAGGAGTAATTGTAATTTATTACCTTGTTCAATGATACAGCCTTTGGGAAGGGAGTTCAGCCTACTGGGAAGATGTATTTTATTGATCCTCTTATGTGAATTCAGTGTCTGTAAGTACTTAACTTTACATCACACAATAAATATCACGTTGATGTAATAAGACTTAAGGAGTCAGAATGGACCTTTGGTAGCCAGATGGCGTTGAGCTTTCTTTACTCCTGAGAGGCTCTGTCTGCTGTTAGTCTGTGTGGAGTCCACGTGTGATCTGGCAGTTAGGTGTATCTTAAGTTTCTTGTCCAGTGTTATAGGCAGACTACCCCTGTGAATTGCTAATTTAGTTTGCCTTGAAAGTGAAAAAATGTGGCCTTTACTACTGCATGATACTACAATGTCAGTATTTTATATAAACTTGTTTTTATATCTCTTTTGTAGGATCAATGTATGTGTTGGCCAAAAAATCATAGCCCTCCCCCATGACAACCGGCAAGTGCGATTGTTTGATATGTCAGGAGTGCGACTAGCACGGCTTCCCCGGAGCAGCCGGCAGGTATTGGTTACAGTGTGTTCGTCACCAACAGCAAAGGGGGATGTGCAGTTCCGTGTTTTACGTCAGTGCTGCATCAGGGAAATACAAGCAGGCCACATTCAGAGATTTTCACATGTAGAAGAGAGAAAAATTAGCTTTAGCATGTATTTTATGAGATGATGAACTAGTTATAGGTTGGTAGAAACTCCTGGAGATGGCACTTGCCTTCACCTCCAGCCAGAAAAATATCTTTCTGTGGTTAGGTGTCACTGGAAAAGGAAGTTCTTCTTCTTCTTCTTTTTTTTTTTTTTTTTTTTAAATAAATTACGGATTTGCTCCTTGCTACCATCAGATGTGATATTTTATTGGGTACTTCTGTATGTTTTATTCAGATCATCCCAGAATGCCTGCATTCATGGCTTCAGCTCAGCTGAGCAGAATCAGAATGTGTTCAGGGAACAACTAGCAGCACCATGTCTTTAAGCAAGTCCTTAGATGATTTTGATGCTCTGTGAAGTGGGGGCTGGGGTCTCAGCATGCATTGTTTAGGTTGATAAGAAGTGGAGGCAGAGGTCATGAGGAACATTCCTTTTTAGGTTGTGTGTTTAACTGAGATTCCAAAGCATAGCGTCTTAGGATTACTATTGCTGTGATGAAACACTGTGGCCAAAGCAACTTGGGGAGGAAAGGGTTTCTTTAGCTTATGCCTCCACATCATCGTTCATCATTGCAGGAGGTCAGGACAGGGACCTGGAGGCAGGAGCTGATACAGAGGCCACGGAGGGTGCTGCTTTTACTAACTTGTTCCTCATGACTTGCTCAGCCTGCTTTCTTACAGAGCCTAGGACCTCCTGCCCAGGGATGACACCACCCACAATGGGCTGGGCATACCACAGTCACCAATTAAGAAAATGCCCTACCGCTGGATCTTATGGAGACATTTTTCTCAACCGAAATCTCCTCCTTTCAGATACTTTAGCTTGTGTCAAGTTGACATAAAACTAATTCTGTTTTTCCCCCCTTTGGATGATCCCTGAATGTCACTAATGTCTGACGAGTCAGCTAAGACAGTCTGTTAATGCATCCATTCCCTGGTCCTTCCAGGTCACTTGCCTGACCTTTGAGCATTGCTTGGGCCTTTTAAAAAATTCTCCTGTTGCTGTCTTCTGTCTGCTTTTCTTTTGATTCCTTTCTGTTGCTGGGATTTTCACTTCATCATGAAATGCTTCAGAGTACAGTTCCCAAGCCACAAGCCAGCTTTGTATCAGTGTGTACTGCAGACACTGAAGACTAAGGATGAGTCTGGAGAAGTAGGAATTAGCTATCAGTATGGCACCCTTTTCTCAAGCATGGTAGTCCTCCCGGCAGTAGTGTTTCAGCCGGTTTTTGTTGCCACCCACAAAAGTTTGCTGCCCAGAATAATTACTATCTTTTTCTTTGAGTGTACATTGTAGGAAAAATCCCATAAAATCATTTCACAACCCTGCATTCCATGAGTTATCTGCCTACCAGAGTTTTAGTCATGTCTTCAACAGGGTAGACTGCTTATGTGTGTCCCAAAATTGCTATTAACATATAAAGAAAGCATTTGTGAAGAGACTGATGACTGTGCTGCTTTATTATTCTGATGCTTTCTTTTCCCCCAAGAAAGTAAGGAGTTCTAAGTAGGACTTCGTGGTCGGAATTCCACGTGGAATTATTTGTAAAATATTCAACTTTGCTGGAATTGTAGAAATTTTGTGCCTGGGTTTATTTTTCATATAGCAGTATGTTAAATAGGTTTATTTTAAGGTTAATGAATAACATCTAACTTCATTTTAGACCTGTAATTCTTCTTCAAATAAATATAGTTTTAATATTATATCATTACAGCTAGCCGTCACTCACTCACTGTTGTAGGTGCTTTCAGATGACTAGTTTTAAAAACAGAAAACCAAAACAGAGCATGCGTGGCTGGTTCTCAGTCTTCCTAATGCTGTGACCCTTTAATACAGTTCCTCATTGACCCCCAACCATAAAATTATTTTTGTTGCTACTTTATAACTGTAATTTTGCTATTGTTATTTGGAGGCCAGTCTGGTCTACAAAGAGAGTTCCAGGACAGCCAGGGCTATACAGAGAAACCCTGTCTCAAAAAACCAGAGGGGAAAAAATTAATCATAATGTTAATATCCATGTTTTCCAATGGTCTTTGGGGGTTGTGACCCAGAGCTTGAGAACTGCTAATGTATGGGAAGCTTGTTTCCTTCACTAAAGGGTTTTGAACCCAGAGCACCACTCCTGTTAGTAAGCATTCTATGACTGAGCTACACCCCCACTACTTTAAATTTTACTTTTAGAGAGTGTCTTACTAAGTTGCCCAGACTGGCCTCAACTTGGATCCTCCTGCCTGAGCCCCATAAAGTAGCTAGTCTACTGGTGCATGTGCCACCATGCTCAGTGAAAAGAGCAAGCAATTTTAGATTATTTTACTTTGGAGATAGTGTAAGTAGCTGCCCCAGGTGTTTCAGGGAAGCATGTTATGGGGACTGCTAGGAAGAGCTGCAGAGTCAAAAAGCACTGAGGTCCAGTGACTTCGTATGTGTTAGTTTGTAGGTAAATAAGTGGGATTCCATATGGCCAGAGTCCTAGAGCTTTTAATAAAAGAATGCCTGTTGTGACTATCCACAGAAGTGTGGATTAGCCTTCTTTATGTATGTTGGTGGTTGATCCCCTTTTCTAGGCGCTTGATCATGATGTGAACGCATAATGTGTGCACTTTTCCCTTGCATCTCCAGTGACATTCACTTTTCAGACAGATGTGGCTTTCAGTGTTCTCCCTGGGTAGCTCTTGGCCTAGATGGCCATTTTCTCTCACTGATTTGTCCAGTACTGGATTGCAGTATTTTTCAAGAATACCCTGCAGTTATCTTTTAAGTAGTTCCTGTCTAAAGGCATGGCTAACTGCCAACTAATGGATGTAGATGTGTTTTCCTTAAAAACAAAAGAAAAACAAAACTCTTTTAACAAAGAATCAATGAAAGATTTGTTTTAATAGTTCAGACACCTTCATAACTTGTCATACAGGTTTTTCTTTTATAGGTAGTTTTGCAACCTGGTTGAATCACCCATATGTATAAACAGTATTTATATTGAAATTTTTACAGAAGAACATCTTGTCCGACTCTTGCCGAGTATTTCTTTTACTTGATAAATACCTGTCAGTTTACTCAATCCTTGTGCCTTATTGTGTAACAATGACAGCAACGTATTAGAGCTATTACACTAATTTATTGGTAATTCCTGCTGTGTAGCGTGCAGATATTCTAAATGTTGGGGTTTATCTTCTGTGCTCAAATATCTGTACATACACAGCATATAACATTATAAGTTTTGTAAACTATTTTGTAGTAATTTCCTCCAACATTTTGATACTTAATTTGAATTCCTGAGGATTCTAGAATCAGCTGAAGAGGCTATTCCATATTTATGTTTCATGTATATGTTTTATTTTATTATGCGAACTATTTATTTACTAAATAATATTTGAGGTCTTTGAATTTGGTTTAATGTATCTGAAAATACATCTTCTAGCTTTATTTGTTCATTTAAAAATATCAAAGTGAAGCCGGGCGGTAGTGGCGCACGCCTTTAATCCCAGCACTCGGGAGGCAGAGGCAGGTGGATCTCTGTGAGTTCGAGGCCAGCCTGGTCTACAAGAGCTAGTTCCAGGACAGGAACCAAAAGCTACGGAGAAACTGTCTCGAAAAATCCAAAAAAAAAAAAAAAATCAAAGTGAGCATTTTTTTTTAATGTGTGACTATAATCTTATCATTTTCTTGAAGAAAAGACTAATCGTGACTTTTGGTATGAGCCCCTCATTCTCTGAGTGGCACACATTTCGCCTTTGCTCTACCAGCTTGCTACTGACACGTTCCCAATACATAGTAGATTTTGGCTCACTTGAGCTATTCCTATGTTGAGTTTTCACTCTTTATTCATCTGAGTACTGTGATTAGCATGGTGAAAGTGTTATGTTTTGTTTCAGGAATAATGCATTAATCCTGTTTCATGTGTTTATTCCTAGGGTCACAGACGAATGGTGTGCTGCTCAGCGTGGAGTGAAGACCACCCCATGTGCAATCTGTTCACATGTGGCTTCGATAGGCAAGCTATTGGTTGGAACATCAATATTCCTGCATTGTTACAAGAAAAATAAGTCACTGGTGTTCCTTAGTTTGAAGTTTGCCATGGACCTTTGATTCATGCAGGCTCTTCTGCATATTGATCAGCCATTATAGTGAGAATTTGGCCCTGGGAAGGGTGCCTTGTATATGTTCTTTTTACATTGTGCCCAGCTTGCATGAAACGTACAGAGAGATGTGTAATTCTGTTTTTTGTTTTTGTCCTGTGTATATTGGCATCCTCTGGTCAGTAGAAGTGAAGCTCACCTCCCATGTAGCATACAAAATGCTCTGAGTTGTTGACGTTGACAGATGAGCAGTAGGGCATTACATTACATTATATGAATTAAATGTGAACTGTGTACCTGTCGTGAGGCATAAACAGTCTGTTACATTGTCTGGAGTAAGTATCCATACCTACCGTGTCCTGGGAAGACTGCAGAGTTTATTGCGTTGGCTATCGAGAGGCAGACTGACTGATAAAGATTTCATGTTTGGTTTGTGTGAAATTATAGCATATGCTGTTGTGTAATTCATTTCAACTCTTAACTTCTGTTCCAGTTCTGTAAATGTAACCTGGATTTACAACATTTGTGCAGAGTTTCTTTTGAGAAAAAAACATTTCTCTTCTTTTATTATACAAAATGATTTTAGTCTCCCAAGGTCTCATACAAGCAAAATTTAAAATATGATTCTCATCACTGATTTTAGATATTAAAAAAAATCAAAGCACTTTAATTTATAGCTGTGGTTCTAAACAGGTTTCAGAAGTTTCAAATGACTTATCCATTGAATGTGACTTGACCTTTATACAAAGGCCTGCTACCTGAAGACAGAATCTTATTTATTTTCTACACCTTGAATTTGCATATTTCTAAATGAGTTCACTTCTTTGGTGGTATTTGAGAGCCGAGGATGCAAATAAATGAGCACTACCTCAAAATAAATATTGGGAAAACTTTGGAGTCTCACTGTTGTCTAGATAAGCGCTTGGATTTAAAGCTGGAATACTGGATTCAAGGTAGAAGGCAAGAAAGGCAATCATACCAAACATGTTCTGAAGGTGAAAGGCTCTCTAGACAGGCTGAAGAAGTGATGGCCATGGTGGGTAGTTCATAGGCAACAAGAAGCATTTGTCTAAAACAGCTTGGATACCTCTCAGTGCCAGTCCTACTACTGCACAAGTGAGCCTTTTGTTCTTGCCTTCTAGAAACCACTGTTCATCTGATATTTGAAAGTTTGTGTTTCTTACAGAGTTACAGTTTTGATAAAGAGACATCTCAGTTACTGCCCCTCGCATTTTAATCCTTTCCATACCGCCCTTTGGAGACTGACCTCTTGGGGAGAAGAGGAAAAGTAGTATGCTGTTACAGTTACCCCACCTCTTACCTTTTTCAGGTCCCTGTTTTTTCTTTGGGTGGCACAGGAGGGCACCTGAACTAGTAAGTGGTAGGAAGTTTGGTGTAAGATGTATGTGTTGTGCATAGAACATTTGGGTGTCCTGTGGTGGTACTTTCTAGGAGTGAGAACTTGGTTATTGGCACCTTTGACTTGGGCACCAAAGGAACTGATATTAGGAACTTCTCATCTGACTCATTTAGAATGATTCTTTGAGGAATTTTGTTTTTTCAACTAAAAAAAAAAAATGTATTTTTAAAGTCTGACCCTTCTAATCACAAGTCTCACCATGGTGTATTTGTGAACCGAGTCAGACTGGTCACTGTAATTGATTATTGTACTTTTTAAGGACCTAGCTCTGACTGTTTTGAATGTATTTTGCTTGATGGTGGAGTACTGGAGGATGCTGATCCCAGTGGTCTGCTTTACTTACAGCCACCAGAATTTCTCTCTCCTCCATCCCAGTATACTCACATACTCACAGAGTTGCTCATGATGATGACAAACTTTGTTCTTATGTTCCTTGTATCTTAATCTGAAAGTAAACATAAGAACCAGATCTCTACCAGACACAGTTTTGGAACTTTTAAAAAAAATTATATTCGTGACCATTTAGTTCTATGTAGACTATGACCTTCACTGCCAATAGCTGCTTATTTTCTTTGGCTAACTGGAGGGACCAGCCTCTGACACAGAAGTGAGGCTCTTCACTCATTTCCAGAAGACCCTAATGGTGCTCGCCCAGAGTGCTCAGGAGCAGGATGTGACTTCCTGTTAACCGCTGTGTCATGTGTTCCCATCCCTTCGCTGCTGTGGTCAGTGTTATTTTCAAGGGTTTATGACTGGCACAGGCTTGTGCTCATGAGTGTGTGCAGGCTGTGTGCATGTGGCTAAGGGTAAGTCATGCTGTCAGCCACGTGTGATCTCAATAGAAACAGTGTTTGGAGATAGGAACACTATTGTGTGCTCGAGTGTCCAGAATTTCATTTAATAACGGAGGGGAAATGCGTGGTTATTAAATGTGCATTGATACAAAATTTCCCAAGAGATTTCTTGTTGGACAGAATTAACACTCCCGTTCCCCCCTTATTGCTGCGTACCAGTTTCTGTAGAGTCAGAAAAGCTCTGTACATATTTGGGAACCTGAAGACTGTAAATCATTTGTTACTTAAATCTGTGAAAAAAAGTTTGTTTTGTTTTTTGAGGGAAAAGTGCATTTATAAATGTTCTGTGGAATCAGTTATCTTTCCTGTATTGATGTAATTGTTTTTTAAATGTTCAGTGTCTTCATTGAAATATGAAGTTCATTAAAACATTTGTGTTCTGTAATTACTATTATAAAGGTTTATGTTATTGGGAGTCTCTGTGTTACTTTGTAAAGCATTATTGATAGTTATAGAAATATCAGTTGTCCAGAAATCGAGTGAACTGCTTATAATGCCTGTTTGAATTTTTTTTATCTTAGACTTAAAACCCAGCTATATTCTTTATCCATTTCTTTTGCAAGTAAAGACTAGCATTGGTAAGATTTCACCAAGTTCTGCCAAAACATTCTTTTCACATTATCCATAAGTCTTATTTTCCTGTAATAACTTAAGATTTTAAAAAACTTATTTCAAAACTGTGAACATTTCAATTATGCACAAAGAACATGGGCTTTGTTATAGAAAGAAGCTAAAAATGAAGTTATGGAAGATTCAAGATTTAAATTCAGCTTCATTAAAATAGCTTTTGTTAGGGATCTTTGGCATGCTGAGCGTTCTGTGTGAAAGAAGCGATGACAGTATTTGAAGAATGAATGTGAAATAAGGGGTGAAATGCTTTCATAGGAGCAAAGGGCACCAGCAGGGGTTTATGTACAATTAGTGTTACTGTAAATTTCTGTAATGGGGACACTGAGTTCGTGATAGTATATTTTTAAGTTTTCAAATGTAAATTTTCAAGTAGAATCACTTCAAAAACAAAAACACATTGTGCTCTCCAGTGTGGTTTAGCATTTGGGACTCATGACTTGTGGGCTTAGATAGAGAGGTGTTTGCTAGGTCATGTCAGGTCATTTAGCCAAGAGCCTTTGCTAAGGTGACATTTAACCAAAGCATAAAGGTTATCAGTAGAAGGAAGTTGCAGAGCATTTCTTGTTGGTGCATGCACAGGTGTTGAGAGAGAGCTTGGCATGGTGTGGGTACTGATCACAGTGTGGCAGCACACAGTGTGGAAGGGGGTGGCCTGGGATGAGACCGGGTGAAACAGATAACCATCTCATTTAGAGGCCTTGATAAGAAGTGTGGCTTTCGTTCCTCACTTGTTGATTTCTCATGGAGATGCAGTAAGATTAGACAGGCTGTGGAAGTCCAGGTGACAGTAGCTGTTGCCACACCTTGTTGGCAGCAGGATGCAGGATGGCAATAGGGTAGATTTGAGGTCTAGCACAGGTACTGATTTATGCCACAGTCCAAAAGTATCTTTGAAGAACTGCCTATTCTAGTTATGCTTGTACATTCGTCAGGGTCTCCAAGATGTTTAAGGGACTGTTGGTAAGGATTTCCCCTTAAAAAACAATACATTAGGGAGTTTCAATAATAGGAGACTTTAACTTAGCATTGCTAATTTATTTGTCCCCTATACTTTGTCACCAACACTTAGCACTGTCACAGTGTTGGCACTGTGCCCATCCCTCAGCCACAGGGGCCCAGTAGAAACGGTCCCTTCTCGTCTATGGCTAATCAGGATCCTGTCTTTAAATTTTGGGCTGAGAATTGGTCGAGCCAGTTTCTCCAGGAATTATTAGTGACCCTGCTTTTAATCTGAGTGAAAAATAGGAGGGAGTGTTTCAAAGTGCTAAGAAAAAAAATTCTTAGAAATGCATCCTGAGCAAAAAACCAAGTTTAAAGAATGAGCGTGAAATAAGGGGTGAAATGCTTTCATATGAGCAAAGGGCACCAGCAGGGGTTTAATGTACAATTAGTGTCACTGATTTAGTAAACTTCTGTAATAGGGACACTGAGTTCATGATAGTATATTTTTAAGTTTTCAAATGTAAATTTTCAAGTAGAATCACTTCAAAAATAAAAACACATTGTGCTCTCCAGTGTGGTTTAGCATTTAGGAGTGCTCGCTGTTCTTTCAGAAGACTGGAGTTTGGTCCCCAGCACCCACCTCAGGCAGCTCGCAGTCACTTATAACTCCAGCCCAAGAGATCCAGTGCCCTCTTTTGGCCTTGGGTACTCCCACACATACACAAATAACATATTAGAATAATAAAAAGTGGTTACTGGTGGCATCGGGGGGAAATAAGAATTGTTGCGGGAGGTCCTCCCACTCCTCCAGCCTATCACCGCTGAGGTACCAGCCCACTGGGGCGTGGTTTCTCTCCCTTTAAAAAAGCGGCCACTTCCCTCTCCTCGCTCTCTTCACTTCCTGCTCCGCCTGAGACTAGACTCCTTTCCTGGTTGCGTAGAGGGCTGTTGCCTGGGACAGTGATCTGTAAGTTTTTTCCCCTTTAAATAAATACCACCCTAATAATCATAACCCCGAATTGGTGTGGCATTGTTTGTGACTTACGCCTTCATTTTGGCGCCCAACGTTTGGTTTTAGAACCTCTCCTTTCCCCACTCGCAGCCGCGAGTTCGGCTTGGCGGCCCCAAGTTCGGCTTGGCGGCTGCGGGCTTGGCGGGCGCAAGTTCGGCTTGGCGGCTGCGGGCTTGGCGGGCGCAAGTTCAGCTTGGCGACCGTGGGCTTGGCGGGCTCTAGTTCGGCTTGGCGGGAGCCCTCCCCTTCCTCAGCCGCCAGCGGCCTTGGACTCCCCACGTGGATTTAAACTCCACAGGCCCGCGTAGTCTCTGGCAGCGTGGTTTGCTCTTTTCTGAGTCATTTTTAAATCTCCCTTGCAAGTACAGCTCTTAAGTGGCACGAACCAGAGCACGTGGTTGCTGAAAGCTGCAACCCCTCAGGGTGACTCTGTCACGTGGAGGCATAAGCGGCTTCCAGATTGCTCTTCTCTACCCCTGGATTCTGGGTTTCTGGTTCCGTCTCAGGAATTGATTTAATTACATTTACTTTGTTGAGAAACTTGCATTTTCCAGTTTTTAACATCTACTAAGGCACTGAAACAGGACCATGTTTTCACCGCGACTCTGCAACAGCGCCACCTGCTGGATAATAGGTAATATTGCAGTTTTTGTTTCTAACGCAAATTTTACTGCTTTGTTTTCACTAATACAATGGATTAGTAAATTTATATTTACTAATACAATGAATTACATCATACAAGGTTTATATGATTATGGGGATACCTTAATTTGCTTGTTACTAGCCTTCAGTTTTCTTTTCCATATTCTATCATTAAGGAAGAATATGGCACTACTAAGAACGATTGAATCTTTACGTACTAATAATGAACAGAAGAATATGGCACTCCTAAGAATGATAGAATCTTTACGAACTAATAATGAACAACTAATTGACAGGATTAAAATTATTGAAAATCAGAGGTTATCTGAACAAGTGGATACTATGACAGACAAAATTGATTCCATATCCAAGGGTATTAGAAAGTTACCTGAAAGGGTTCAGGCTGTTGAATTTGACGTTCAGACTTTATCACAAAGTTTTGATAAGGTAACAGACAGAATGTACCTCCAAGATGGGAATCTACATGATATACAAGAAAAGTTTAAGGAGGACATGTTATCTTTGAAGGAAAAAATTAAAGCTTTGGAATCACAGGTGCAGAATGGGGACCAAAAAATTGATACCTCAGTGAAATCACTGGAAATATATACAGGTCAGGAGATTCAGGATTTAAGAGAGACAATGATAAAAAGATTTGAAAAGATTGGGGAAATTATTGCAGCTGGTGAACAGAGTAAGGAGGCACAAGGACAGGATACAAGGCCTCCACCAGCTATTAGAACTGGCTTACCCAGGGTTCTAGCGACATACCCTATACTTAATTCTGAAAAAGCATCAACTTCTAAAGGCTCAAAGGGAGTCAGAGAAGCTAGATGGACGCCAATAGCAATGAATGATCTGAAAGAAATTAAGCAAGCTGTTGTTAATTTTGGCTTGCACAATGCATATGTAAAGGAAATGATAAGGACTTGGGCTTCTAATGCTAGAGCTACTCCCCATGATTTCCATCAGTTAGTGTCTGCAGTTTTAGATAATGGACCTTCCTTGATGTTTGGAATTTATTTCAGAGAAGAATCCAAACATATGGAACAGCAAGGAAGAGCAAAAGGTATTGAGGTTTCCCAAGATCAAATTCTTGGTGCAGGAGAATATGCTGATCCACAGGTCCAAGCTCTTTATGACGATGAAGTACTGTGTCTATGTCACCAAGCAGCTTTAAATGCTTGGAATAGGATACAAGATCCAGCAAAAAGGGTTGAATCATATACCAGAATTAGGCAGGGACAGAGAGAACCCTTTATTGACTTTTTGCAAAGATTAATTAAGGCTCTGGACATAGGGGTAACAGACCCAGAAGCTAGACGAATACTTCTTGAATCTCTAGCTTTTGAGAATGCAAACATAGAATGCAAAAAGATAATTGGGCCTTTAAAGTCTAGATCAGCACCTATGGATGAATGGATTCAGCATACGATGAATGTTGAGACGTTTAGCTATAATGATGAATCTTGGGTAGGAGAAGCGATTTCCAAAGCAATGAGGAGACATCAAACTGCCAGGTGTTTTAATTGTGGTAAATTAGGACATTTGCAAAGGAATTGCAGGCAAAGAATTTCTAGGAATATCTCTTCTGTGAATGACAAAAATAGGAGACCTCGGCCTTCAGGTATATGTAGGAGATGCGGTAAAGGCAGGCATTGGTCCAATGAATGTAGGTCAACAACAGACAGACGGGGCAATCCGATATCATCGGGAAACTCCTTGGGGGGCCTCTCGCAGGCCCCCAAGCCAACAGTGGCCCAGTCATTCCCAGTCACAGTGGAGAACGTGCCTCACCAAGAAAATTAAAAGCTCCAATTTCTGCTGTAAAAAGTAATACTGGTCTAAATGAAGAATTACGTGTGGAGGATGAGTCAAAAAACCCAATAGGACAGAGTAAACGTATATTTTGGCAGACTTCTATTAATGATCAAAGACCAAAGCTAAGAGTCTGTATAAATGGCACTTTTATTGAAGGCTTATTAGACACAGGTGCGGATGTAAGTATCATTACCCCAGAATCTTGGCATCCGAATTGGCCTCTTCAAGAGGTAGATGTTCAGTTCCTGGGAATTGGAACCCTATCTCGTGTAAAACAAAGCACAAGATGGGTTGAATGCATAGGGCCCGAAGGGCAAATAGGAAGACTAAGGCCATATATAGCCAATATTGCCATAAATTTATGGGGCCGTGACCTGCTACAGCAATGGAATACCCAGATTAACATTCCTGTATTTCCAGGAACTCATAATTCTGGGAAGGATATGATGAGGTATTATGGAAAAAGGTCACCAGCCATTCAGGCTGTACAAGAACATACAGCAAATACCAAACCTTTAGAGGTACCAACGGCCCTACCTTTAAAATGGCTAACTGAGAAGCCAATATGGACCAAACAATGGCCTCTAGCTGAAGATAAACTACAGGCATTGGAACAGCTGGTGCAAGAGCAACTAGATGATCACCATATTGAAGAATCAACCAGCCCTTGGAATTCTCCTGTGTTTGTTGTAAAAAAGAAATCTGGTAAATGGAGAATGGTGACAGATCTAAGAGCTGTCAACAAAGTAATTCAACCTATGGGCCCACTACAATCTGGAATTCCTTTGCCTTCTCTGTTACCAAAAGGATGGCCTCTTATAGTTATTGATTTGAAAGATTGTTTTTTCACTATACCATTACAAGAAAAGGATAGAGAAAAATTTGCCTTCACAGTGCCTACTTATAATAATTCTCAGCCTAATAGGAGATATCAGTGGACTGTCCTCCCACAGGGTATGCTCAATAGTCCTACACTGTGCCAATATTTTGTAAGTAAGCCATTGGAAATAATTCGTAAACAATTCCCCAAGTCCATCATTTATCATTACATGGATGACATCTTATTATCTGATTCAAATAAAGATACTTTAGAAAGGATGTTTGAAGAAGTAAAGAAAGTCTTGCCTAGGTGGGGATTACAAATTGCCCCTGAAAAGATTCAAAGAGGAAATTCTATTAATTACCTAGGTTACAGAATAGGGTTAGAGACAATTAAAACGCAAAAGGCACAAATTAGGAGAGACCGGTTAAAGACTCTTAATGACTTCCAAAGATTGTTAGGAGACATTTCCAGTCTACGACCAGCTGTTGGGATAACACCTGATCTAATAGTTCATTTAAACAAAACCTTAGATGGTGATAAAGATTTGAATAGTCCAAGAGAACTGACAGCTGAAGCAGAAAAGGAACTGACAATGATTGAGGAAAAATTACAGGAGGCACATGTGGATAGGGTGAACCCAAATCTTAGCTGCATCCTAGTCATATTGCCTTCCAGAATTTCTCCTACAGGGATTCTAATGCAGAGGGAAGATATTATTTTAGAGTGGATATTTATACCTAATAAACCAAGTAAAAAATTAAAAACTTATGTGGAAAAGGTCTCTGAATTAATTATAAAAGGTAAGCTGAGACTTCGTCAACTAGCAGGTATAGACCCAGCAGAAATTATAGTGCCTTTTACTACTGAAGAAATAAAAAAGTTATGGGAAGACAATGAACTGTGGCAAAGAGCTTGTGCTAACTTTTTGGGAGAAATTAATAGCAACTATCCCAAAAGTGATAGACTTAATCCCATAAAAAGAACTTCTTGGATTCTTCCTAGAATTGTACGTGATTCTCCAATAACTGGAGCCCGTACGTTCTATACTGATGCAAATAAATCAGGGAAAGCAGGTTACAAGTCAGATGAATTGAGTAAGGTGGAACAAAGCCCTTATAATTCTGTCCAGAAGGCAGAATTATATGCCATTCTTATGGTGCTAAGGGATTTTAAAGAACCTCTTAATATAGTTACAGATTCACAATATGCAGAAAGAGTTATCTTGCATATTGAA